ACACTCTGGTCAGTGTACACTGCTGCCATTGTCAACTAGTAGGAGTGAATGGGGTGCTAGTCAAATACATGCTTGGTTTAGGATGACATCAAGCTTTGAAAGGGTTGCAGAGCTTCACTCAATCAAGAATATGAGAAAACACCAAGAGCAGACCATACATCTGTTGAAGTTGCCCATGCTTGAATATGACAAAATAGTTATTTAACTGATACAGACAAAGTTTTGGCAAAGATCTGTAGCTCAGGCTGGGAGTGAGGTTGTTGACTTGCTCGCAGACTTTTTGGTCGCCATGCTAGGTGACATCATCAGTGGAGCCTTCAATGAAGCGATGTTATTCTACTCCGTTTGGAATGTATATTTTATTTCCGGTTTTGATCTGCATGGGTTTGTCCCAGTTAAACTGATGGCCTTCATTATCTGAGTGTGCCGATATTAAGGGAAGCTCCTCATGCCATTTTGTTGCATATTGATGTTCACGAGTTCTGATGTTTCCTCTGTCTGTCTGATGTAACGTTTGTGGCAGTCCTTACATGGTATTTTGTAAACCACGTTGGTTCTGCATGTTGTGGAAATGGGGTCTTTAATCCATGAGTGTTTGTTGTAGAATGGCTGTGGGCTACCATGATTTCTAGTGGTCTTAGGAGTCTCGGTATCAGTTCTGATATGCTGTTGATGTAGGGCAGTATGGCCAGTGTGTTAGGGCATACACCTGTTGTTGTCTGTTTAGTAGGCATCTGTGGATGAAGTCCAATGGAGTTCCAAATCTCAGTATACAAAAAAGCAACCCATACTGATCAAATCCTCAACTTCCACAGCAACCACACCAATGTCCACAAACAAAGCTGCATTAGGATCCTATTTAAACAGGCCAGGACATTCTGCAACACCCCAAACTTACGCAGGAGAGGGGAAGAGCACCTACGCAAAACTCCTCGCTATAAAACAGATATCCCTGCAACTTCATCCACAGATGCCTAACAAACAGGCAACAACAAGAGGACGCAGTATGCCCTAACACACTGGCCACACTGTCCTACATCAAAAACATATCGGAACTGACAACGAGACTCCCAAGACCACTAGAAATCATGGCAGCCCACAAGCTCACAGCCACTCCATGACAAACACCCAGGATTAAAAGACCCCATTCCCACAACATGCAGAGCCAACATGGTTTACAAAATACCATGCAATGACTGCAACAAGCATTACATTGGACAGACAGGAAGGAAACTAGCCATCAGAATACACGAACATCAACTAGCAGCAAAATGGCATGACAAACTTTCCTTCATATAGATAAACACAGACAACAAAGGCCATCAGTTTAACTGGGACAAGGTAGCCATAGTAGCCCAAGCCAAACACAGACATTCACAGGAATTCCTAGAGGCATGGTTCTTCACCCGTAATGCAATCAACAAACACATAGAATTGGACCCCATACACAAACCCATACAGATCAAAATGGGAAATGACGCTACTCACCATAACAGATTAAACAGTATAAATGTTGAGCAGAGTAGAATAACATCACTTCATTGGAAGCTCCACCGACAATGTCACCTGGCATGGCGACGAACAAGGCAGCTCAGCGAGCAAGTTCATAAACCCACAGACAATCAAAGGAAATGTTAGGTGAAGCATTTCATATAACTCAAATCCTGACCTTCACAGCAAGACAACATAATGCCCGAGTCTCAGTAAGATAGGACTAGAACGCAAACAAACAGTCAGGCTCTGAAAAGACAGCTCAGATGAAAATCATCCGATTTGAGATTTCCAATTTTTGTATGAAATAGAAAGGGAAAGCTTTACCTACTTGAGAAGAGGTTCTTAAGTAATTATAATTACATATTAGAGTACAAATTGCTACAGGAATAAAAGTTTGAATTTATTAGATACTGGGGAGTTAAATTTCTGAAGGCAGTTAGCCTTGCATGCAGAGACTAGTTTCGATAAACACAATTTTTTCTCCATCAGCATGGCTAGAACAAAAAAAGGTACAAACAAGATAACGTCATACAAGAACCAAGAGACAAGAGACAAATAACCTGGCAAGGGTGGGGGCAGAAATAATTTTAAACCAGGAGTTACCATGGCCGAGAAAACAACCAATTGCCACTTCGCAAGTCGGATAACAGGGAAGCTGTTCCTGAAATTGTTAGCTTTGTCACAGATTCATAGCATTAATTTTAACTAATTTATAAATAACTTTACCTTAGAGCTGATATTACAAATATTATAACAATTAGTAGAAATTAACAACTTTTTTTAATCTTCTGCACTAAGATCAGCAAGGGATATCAATTACATGACAATGCTTTTTCTTTATTTATAAGTGCTATGAGGGCTAGCTGGGCAGATAAGCAAATAAACAAAAGTCATTTGTAATAAGCAAATGTGCAATGCGTCTGGCAAATGTCTAGGAAGGGACATAATATCGGTGTTGGAATGTGGTCAATAATCCTAAAAGCCCAAAGACAGATAAGGGATCTAGCAAACAGCACAAGATGATGGGAGGACCCAAGGTGGACCATGAAGTTGTCAATCACTAATTATGTACGTACAGGATTAGATGTGTAGGTCAGAATGGGTGTGGCAAGCAATGATGTCAACGTTGCATGTAACCATTATAACATGCTATATATAAATATCCTGTACTTTATTGAGAAAGGAAGAGTGTCACTGACCTCCGATCTGAGCTGTATTTAAGACAGCAACTGCATTGCACGTGAAAGCTAGATTCAGAGTGGTCTCTGGCCTCTCCCATATGTAGTAAAGGACCTCCACTAAAGATAGATTTGTACTGCTGAAGATGGGCCTCGGTTCCTCTAAAATCCTTCTCCCACACAAACCCTGAAGCCTACTCCAACAGCTAAAAGATAAATCAGTGCTAATCTTTGGGCCTCAACTCCATTTCCCGCTCACCTCCCTAAATCCCAGATTCCTTGACAAGTTAGTAACCTGCCTAAGTGGCCTTAATTCTTTTCTCTATTCTTTACTGGGACTTGATCATCATTGTTAAGGCCAGCATTTATGGCCCAACTTTAATGCCCTTTACAGAGTGGCTTGCTGGGCCATTTCAGAGGATAGTTGAGTCAGCCCTCTACTGTGGAATTGGAGCTACATGTAGGCCAGATTTCCTTTACTAAAAACTCATGCATTCACCAATGTCATTCAACGATAATCACCAAGTTTCATGATCATGATTGAGATTTGCTTTGAATTCCAAAAAATTATATGAAATGCCATCATGGGATTTGAAACCATCTGCTAAATGCACTAAGCCAAAAAGAACAGAACAGCAGATGCTGGAAATCACAAACAAAAACAGAAATTGCTGGAGAAACTCAGCAGGTCTGGCAACATCTGTGCACAGAAAGCAGAGTTAACATTTCAGGTTCAGTGACACTTCTTTGGAAGTGTTTTTAGCTCAGAAAAGGTTGGTGTATATGCTAGAGCTGTCAGATGGGCCAGGGGAGGGCAGAGTAAATGCTCACTGGAAGTGGTGCCCAGAGAGCAAGAAGGAAAAGGAACAATTGGGAATTCTAAAAGATCAGCCTGGAGAGAGTCAGCAGCTGCTAATGGGGACCATAAGTGGCTGACAATGGGTTGTTTGTGGTAGCAGCTCTTGTGACAACAGATTTGGTGTATGGAGGTTGGGTTAACGACATGAGAGAAGGTGCTCAAGTCCTAAAATTATTAAACTCAATATTCCATCCAGAAGGCTGCAGGTTCTCCAAGTGGAAAACAAAATGCTGTTCTTCCAGCCTGCACTAAACTTCACTGGAGCACTGCTCCAAACCAGAGTTAAGATGTTGGCCAGAGAACACCATAGGGTGTTCAAATGGCAGACAACAGGAAGCTCAGGTCATTGAGGACAAAATGCAAGTGTTTTGCAAAGCAATTGACCAGTTTGCATTGCATCTCCACAATGCAAAGTAACCCACACTGTACACAGCAAATTATAGTAGACTAGATCGAGTGAAGTGCAGATAAATTGTTGCTTCATGTGGAAGGTATGTCTGGAGACTGGAGGCTCGGGTTGGACTGGAACAAAATTTTCCACATACACTACTTCCATGAACGCACCTTCGAGTTGATGCAAGTGAAAGGAGTTAGAGAACTTGTTCAAAGTGAGAACGTGCTTGACCGGGCAGAGAAGGGTGGTAAAGGATGGGGATGTTTCAAGTCGTTTTTTTTCTAGGAAGAAGCAGAGAGCCCAGATACAATTCTGATGCGGAATGGGCAAATAAAGAGAGAGATTGCATATTCCTGAAGCATTAGCTTGGGCCTCCGGATTGTTTACCCAGTGACACTATTGTCAAATACGTCACTGGAAGAAAACATAAGGCCAACTTAAAAAAGTGAAGCTCCTTGATTTTTTTTTTAAAAAAAGGAATGGATGCGCAAGATCAACTCAAGGAGCTTGCAACAGTTTGGGGATAACTGATATCAATCTACACAGGTCAAATTAAATGCTCTTCTGGTGTAAAAAAAGTTACATTAAATAATCACAGTATAAAATGTCCAACCAGATACAGAGCAATGTGCAAAATGACATTTGACATATTTAGCGTTCTGAGCCACTTCATCATCTAATCTGAAGGATTATTTCTCTTATGAGAAGACTGTCAGTTACTGATGATACTGCTTACCATTTATAACTGATCTTTAATAACAATTTCTTGAAGAAATGTCACTGAAACATTGTCATTGTCAATCTTTCAAATAGCTTTCCTACTCTCAAAATGAAACAAAAATCACATTCACAACGCCTCGCAATACAAGTTCAAAACACAGAGGTCAATAAACATCAGAAAGAGCAGTCTTTTTCAACGGTGATCCCATAACACCAAAACTACTAACCTAAAGCTGCAAAAATGCACCGGTGTAATTCTAACAATTCTTGATTTTATTTTAGTCTTGTGCAGTTGACGTTTATATTTCTGTTCTCACTTATATCTCATTTTTTCTCAACCACATTCCATACTGACCCAATTTTGTTTTTATCCCGGCTTTGATTGCCCACACGACTTGTGGATTTAATGTACAGGTGGCGGTGTAACTCATCAATTAGCACCAAATGCATGTTCAATTTCTTGCTGTGGAGCTCTAGACGCAGATCGCTCAGTCCTTCCACCTGCAGCAGCTGTCCCTCCAAAGAATCTACTGCAGAGACCTAAGACAGAAAACAAGAAGACAAAACAACACAACTGTGATTTTTGATTCCTATGTACCATTATTAACATCATCATTAATACTCCAAAGCTTGGGCCACCATGGCACAGTCTAAAACCCTGATTTTCCCCTGGGCAACACTTTGATTCAGCTCCTCATTATGTAATAACTACTGACACTCATTAAGATTTATGCAGTCCCTCATTTGATTGGACACATTGGGTATTGAGAGACAGGATATAGATCTATTCACATTTATCAGGTGAATAATCTATTTCAGCTACCAAGTGAGGACCCCAGCATCACAGATAGTGGGCTTCAAACAATTTGATTCACTCGACATAATATTAAGAAATCACTTAAGTTGTTGGAGCCGCACACATTTAGGCAAGTGCAGAGGACTCCCTCACACTCCTAAATTCTACGCTGGACATGGTGAACAGATTTTGGGGAGTTAAGAAGTGAGTTGCACACTGCAGAATTCCCAACCTCTGACCTTTTTTCGGTAGCGCAGTATGTACACAGCAGTTAAGTTTCTGGTCAATGCTAAGTCCCACTGTTTTGATGGGAAAACAGTGATAGTATGGTCTTGGATGTGAAGGGGACATGATGACGACATTCTGTTTTGGTCTTTGACAGGCATTAAAAATGTGATATTCACATCACATGTCAGCCAAAGCCCAAATGCTGCTCAGGTCTTTCTGAACATGGGCATAGGCTGTTTCAATATATCATTTGTACATGGCTCTGAACACGAATATTCAACATTCCCACTAACCATTACATGAAGCTTTCAGACATGTAGAAAAAAAAGAGAGAGTGTAATGTTGGGTTCCAGAGGCATACACAGACAGAATTTCAATTGACACATTTCTACCTCTGCAACATGTTGAGACCATCACTATTTTTCTTGTAGTTTTCAGTTTTGGTTTGGAACTGAGAGTTTAAGTTGAGAATTGAATTTTGACCAGTCTGCTTTAAAAGAAAAGAAAAGGCAGATTTTTGCTCTTGGGACCTGGCCCGGAAAAATAATACAGGTTAATTACTAGTTAATGCTCGAAGGGCAATGCAGACGGTTTGACATTGAGGTGTTGTCAGGGCCTGGCAGTTGGTTAGATGTTAAATTGATCAAATGGAGGGAGGACTGATGATGGGCAGCCTTCTACAAAGAATGATACAAGACAAAAAAAGAGGAAAAAAAAAAAGAAGTTTGAACTGGTTCTGTTTTGGGCAGAAGGCAGTTTTGTTTTAGAAGTTTCCAGACTGGGGTTACGTGCTCTCCCATTATTATCCAGTCACTGGTTTGTTTAGAGTTTGAAAAAAGAATCCCAATCTGTAAGAAATAAGTACAAGTCTTCAGAGATCTGCAGACGCCGGTTGCATTGATGGGTGACTTTGGATTTCAAGCAAGGTAAACAATCATATATGTCTATAATATAACCCACCATCCAAGGCCTGGTATTCAGCATTGAAAAACAGTTATCAAACTGGCAAATTATGATACTTGTACTTTCTTTCTTATTGATCATCTTTCAACTGTGTCTCTATGAGACTGGGGGCTTACGCTTAAAAAAGATTGGGCTTAGATCATTTATCATGGTTCTGCTAATGTTACATGCTTAATAATATATCGTTAATTTTTGTTTACATTATAAACTTGGTGTCCAAGATCCATCATTTGCAAAGTTTGGTTATGAACAACTGAATAAATTTCAGGCTCATTAAGTGTTTTAATTTTACTGTCTTGCTAAGCCAGTGATACCGAGCCTATGTTGGTTTAGCAAGCTACCTCTCTACCATAACAAACAAGGTAGCTTAATACAATCCACCCGAGGGATACACAACAAACGTAAAACTTAAAATGACAACTTTTTAAAAAAAAAAAAAAAAAAAACACTTTCCACAACACACAAGCTGGCTGACAAGACAGACAGCATGCCAAAGAAAATTATTTCCGAGAAGAATGGCCTGGACAGAGTGGATGTTGGGAAGATGCTTCCATTGTAGGACAGACTACGACCCGAGGGCACAGCCTTGGAGAGTAAAGGGAAGACCCTTTTAGAACGGAGAGAAGGAGAAACTTCAGCCAGAGAGTGGTGAATCTATGGAATTGACTGCCACAGAAGGAAGGGTATACAGGCCAGGTCATTGACTACATTTTGACTGAGATAGATAGGTTCTTGATTATCAAGGGTTATAAGGAGAAAGCAGGAGAATGGGGTTGAGGAACTTATCAGCCATCATTGAATGGCAGAGCAGACTCGATGGGCCAAATGGCCTAATTTCTGCTCCTACGTCTTATGGTCTTAAAGAATGAATAGTTCTGCAGAAGCGATTTTTCTTTTTACTTCTCACGGGACCTGGGCTTCACTGGCTTTTATTCCCTGTCCCTAGGTGTCCTGGAGAAAGCAATTGCGAGCTGCCTTCTTAACCTGCTGCAGTCTATATGCTGCAGGTGGACCCACAAATGATGTTGCGGAAGGAATTCCAGGATTTTGACCCAGCGACAGTGAGGCAATAATACTATGTTCAAGTCAGGATGGCGAGTGGCTCGGAGGGCAACTTGCAGTTGGCAGTGTTCCCATGTAACTGCTTCCCTTGTTCTTCTAAATGCAAGTTGTCATGAATTTGGAAGGTGCTGTGTAACAATTTTTGGCAATTTTCTGCTGTGTATCTCGTAGACAGTATACACTGCTGCGACTGAGCTTGGGTTGTGGGGAGAGTGGATGCTTCTGGATGTGGTGCCCATCAAGTGGGCTGCTTGGGCTGGATAGTGTCAAGATTCTTTAGTGTTGTTGGAGCTGCACTCATCCAGGCAAGTGGGAAACATTCCATCACACTTCTGATTTGTGGCTTGTAGATGGTGGACAGGCTTTGCGAAAGTCAGGTAGCAACTTACTTGCAACAGTATTCCTCGCCTCTGACCTATTCTTGTAGCCACTGTATTCATACAGTGAGCCCAGCTGAGTTTCTGGTTCACGGTAACCCCAAGGCATTGACAGTCAGAGATTGACTGATGACAATGCCATTGCAGTGCTGAAATTATCTCTTTTTGAAGATGGTTATTGACGGGCATTTATGTAGCATGAATGTTACTTGCCATTGGTCAGCTCAAGCCTGGATATTGTCCAGGTCTTGTTGCATTTAGACACAGACTGCTTCATTATCTTAGGAGTTGCGAATGGTGCTGAGCATTGTACAATTATTGGTAAACATTCCAACTTCTGACCTAACATTAAAGGGAAGGTCATCAATAAAACATCAATTGGCTCAATGATGTCTTTCCACAGTGATCAGATTGCCCAATCAGAAGAAGCTTGGACAAGATTTCTTCCATAACTACATAAATTGACAACTAACTATTGAAAGAGCAGTTCTGATCATGTTCTATGAATTCACCTCCCTTCAATAAAACAACAGAGATGCACCAAAGGCTTCGGCACATCACTTAGCATCTGGAACTTCCTTGATGGAGTCATACAGCTGCAAGCTGATAACTTCAATAAGTATCACCATTTCAGCATAGTGTATTAACTAGGATAAAGGAAAGTAATTAAAACGGTGGTAAGTCAAGTCAAGTCAATATAAAGCATGTATTTATGTTTGTCACCAAAACAGACGTAAATTAATTTACACAACCTCCCCTCAGAACCACAAACCAAGAGAGTTTGTTATGGATGTATTAGTTGGGTAGATAAGAGGTGAACCAGAAGATGTAGTTTGCCTGGATTTTTTGGCATGGAAACGTATCAGATGAACATCTGGCAGCATCTGTAGAGAAAGAGAGTTGACTTTTCAATTCCTATGACACTTCATGACTACATGAGTTGATGATGAAGGGATGTTTGCAGAAGAAAAAAAAAGGAGAACAGGCTTGTCCAGTCTTGAAAGGCCAAATAAACTGCAACTCAGATAAAAGTAATTCATTGCACTGTTGCATCAAATGGCTGTCAGTCCTTTGCAGCCCTGCATGCAGCAAACTGGATACTCTCACTCTCTGGTTTGGTACACGTTGAATAAGTTTGCTCTTTAAACAGCCTATACCATTTCTTTTTGAAAATCCACTATTGCTTCCATTTGCAGAATCCTTTTCTTAGTCATTGCTCCATTTAAGTCAAAGATACCAATTACTTGGCTAATCAGTCTCTTAATATGTCTCATCACCTTCAAACGATGACTACAGATGGAATCCCAGGTCTCTGTTCCAAGTCAGAAGTTACACAACACCACCAGGTTATAGTCCAACAGATTAATTTGAAATCTCAAACTTTCAGAGCTTAGCCCTTCGTGAGGTAAGGTCATTACCTGACGAAGGGGCTACGCTCCAAAAGATTGTGATTTCAAGTAAACCTGTGGGACTATAACCTGGTGTTGTATGACTTCAGACTTTGTCCACCCAAGTCCAACATCAACACCTCCACATGATGTCTACCAACTGGTCCAATACACACTCTGGAACTTGCTATTAAGTTGACATTGCCACGAACCATTTTGTCTGACCAAATGGATCACCTTGTGCTTCTGTCTACTGGTAGTCTATGGATTCTGCTACCCCATCTGCATCAGGATACAGACAACTGATATCACTCCATTTGCAACACTTTCAATTTTGCTATAAATTGAGTAACTTTGGAAGTTTACTTGGCATTCCAAGATTCAAGTCATTTATAGATCACAAAAACAAAAAGCAACAGTCCTTGCCTCAGGGAATACCACAGTTTGCTATCCTCCCATGCAAAGTAACATTCAGGACTGAGAAGACGACAAGTTTCTTCACATAATTAGATATGAATCTTCAATTGTTGACATGAGAGGATTGTGGATATTCCACTACCAAGTACATCTAAGGCCTGGTTAGAATTTCAGTGTCTCAGGAAATCCAAGTATATAGGGAGTCAGGGACTAAGCGGAATTTACAGTCCAAGATTTGATACAATTGCTGTTAATATTGAAGAAGTTTTCAGTCTACTCCCACTCTGACATTGGTTTTGATGCATTACC